TGGAACTATGCAAACATTCTACTCCTCAGATTTTCAGTTTTTATGAAACTTTGATGACTTTTATCTCGATGATAATCAAAAACATATGAATCGTTTATAATAAGAAATGTTTCATCATAGTGAATTAATAGATTTATTATCATCGTTTCTAAACAAGTGCTTTATTATCGGATAAATGCTGCAAATCCATTTAGAGTTTCCTCATCTCTTTGTATTTTCAAATAGGCTCTTTCAAACGTTTTGCTTACATCATACTAAGTAGCAGTGCGTTTATAAATTTGTAGGAAAATCCTTATTTCTTCATTTTTGGCCCATCACGATTTTGTTTAGCGGTTGAAATGTATATGTTGTTACGTAGACATAAAATAGTTACAAAGACTTTTTTTGCTAACAGTACGACAACGAAATTACGGATGTGAGCGTGCTGTCCGTTTATGATAAGAAGAGAACTTTTTGTTTGCTTTAAAGTAATTAAATTAAATAGTAAATGCTTCCATTTGTATCCAATCAGATGCCGAAAGATTGTTTCTTGCATTTGCACTAATATCAAAGAGTCACTAAAGATTTAAAGTATTATGCACAATCAACTTTGAATAAAATTAACATTTGAGGAGTAGACAAATCTTACTCCATAACTTCTTCTAATAATAAGTAATATTAAATTGATGGTGAAGTACGGTCTTAAGCTAACTATTCCCAAATCTCGTTTCAAAAATAGTTTTAATTAATCTTTCCTGCTGGTTGATGCAAAAACGGCTATGAAATTTGCTCTATTTTGTTAACTGAAAAGCAACGCACTTAACATCTTGTCCTAGTAATCTGTAATATTTATTCTTAATTAAAATAAAGTGCTGCACAGGTGCATTTTCAAATTTTTGCTATAAAGAAGGTCGTGAAATCTGATAAATTTTAACGGCGTTTAGGTATTCCATATTTTTGGGTTTTACAGATGCATACTCTGCATACTTGTACTATCGCAATTATGTATGCAACTTTAAAGACAAAAAGTTGGTTAGTTAGTTATTCTTCATATTCTCAATTGGAATGTTATTTGATTAGAGCTTACACATACTGTATAGATACAGCTGGCTCAATGATTATTCTGTTTGTAGTTTTTTTTTTAAATTTCAGGAATTTGATTTATAATTACCTACATAAATAGAATTTGGTTGTTGTCACTTTTCGTTAACAGTTATAGCAATCTCCAAAAATCTTTAACTCCTACTCTAGTAGTATACCAAACGCCACTCAGAACGTATGAGATTGTAAAACCAACATTAATAGAGGATACGGAGAAATATATTTTGGTTCAACCACCTTAAATAAATTACGTAAAATTAGGATCTTGTCCTCACTGGATATTAAAATGGCCTATTAGCAGATTCCCTTTGGCAACGAGTCGAGACTTAGGCTGCGTTTGCAATTCTTTGTAGATTGTTTCACTTTAGGACTATCTTATTATTTAAGATATCTACGATATGATCCTGAAAAGGTGACGGTCATCGCAATAATCCTGTACCTAAACCTGTGCGTGATGTTCGTTTTATGTTGGGTATGGCATCTTGGATAAAGAGGTTCATAATGTTTCCACGATAATACTTACTGCTTACTTAAAGCAACCCTGAAAATTTCTTTGGATCGATGGAAGTAATGTAGTCTTAGATAATATAAAATCTACATGATTTCTTCTCCAATTTTGATGACGTGTCCAGACGTCGATTAATGAACTTCAAAAATATTAGGATCTTTGGCATATGAAGATATGTAATAGAATAATTAATTGTGCAGAAATATAACCATATTGGCGAGTGTCGCAACAGTGTACCCATATAATCGAAAACAATATAAACCTTTTGAAATATTATGGGTTGGGGTTGGATCTAATAACAATAACTTGGAGACGCAAACTATTCTGGAATTATTTCAAAAGGAAGGTCTTTAAGAGATTCAGGGTAATGGCATAAATATTTGTAAAATGCATAAATCATTAATCATATTATTACTCTTTGGTAGCTTTTGTGAACTTGATGACGCTACACTAACGACTAAGTGACCCGATAATAAAAAAAATTTCAAAATTCGCACTGTTAATCAAAGGAAATTATGGAATGCATATATTTTGAAAAAACAAATACTTAAAGGACGTACTCCAAATGATTGGTTATACCTCGAGGGACATCTAACAGAGACTAACCAGAAAATAGCAAAAATCAATAGATAAATACAGATGTGATGACCTTTTGATTTAAATTTAATGCAACGTATAGCCAGGCGATTGAAGAAGTACAAAATTATGGTGAGATTTGAAACAATCACTACGGAACGCACTATTGGTAGCAAAAGATAACCTTCCGTGAAAAGTTCCAGTATCTACTAAATACACACTGTTTTGTAAACAGGGATGGAACTTCGAATGTCGGATAAAGAAACTCGATAGGGAAGCAACAACCACAACTCCCAAAGAATAACCAGAGAAGCTATAGAAACTTATCGTAACAAGGACAACAATAGAGAGGACGGTATCGAACTCAAACAAACTTAATACTCCACGATGAAAAAAAATAAGACTGGGTATTTTGTGTTTTCGATGAAAGAAACTTTGGTGATGCATTTTACTGGGTTTACGAATTATGACTACTTAAGAAAGGTAATTTTATACATTATTTTGATGTTTTAACGGAATTTGAAAGAAATTTCTAATCAGGCATTTCCACTCATATTGTCCAAGAAATAAGCTTTCGAATGAGAAAACATGAAAATATAGACGCATAGATAAATTATAGTGCTTGAGCACCTTAGATCGCAGGTGAAGCATGTAGATTCTCTATAAATATTAAAAAGGCATCATTTATTTTTAAACTCTATGGAAAAAAAACGTTTCATCAATTTTTAAAATTAACAATATAAAAATTATTCACCCGTTTATAAAATTTTTATTTCAAAATTATATTGTATACTTGTATACTATAAAATGAATAGATTAGATTCTATACTTAAGTCTTCTTGTTTATTATAGTTGATATGTAGGTACTAACAAATTGTGAGAATCTCTACATACGTTAGGTAAGTCGTGTTTTGCAGTAAGTAACAATTTAAGAGAAATTACTTTAACGTATCGATAAACACCAATAAGGAAAACCTCTCACGACCTCTGAATAATAATCGTCACACTGACAATTCCAATAATAACAGATAAATCCCTAATATGTAAAACTTTCTCTTTCGATAGTCGTTAGATGGCACAATAGCACTTAAACTGTTCCCATAACAGTGGTTCGCTGATGGGCATCGGCCGAGAATGAAGAGACCAGTCATATTGACTAAAGACGTACCACCAATTTCCGTTGTAGATAAAACTATCTGCGCTTCCGGAAATTCTCTCTACATGGGAAGAAAGTAATGAAGTAATGAATCACGACCGAGTCGCGGCTTTGCGATGACAAAAATTCATCACGGATGAATGAACGTCAATAACATCAAAGAACTTTTAAATGGGGCGGTTGTGTTTTTCGTCGTGACCGGCCGTGGTCGACAATGGATCACTTTTACCAGTTGGAAAATGGTATCAGCTGTGGGAAATCTAGACGGAAGTATATCTCTTCAGTCATATCGAGGAGGAGGTCATAGCCTCAAGCTGAATGATTAACATGAACGACAGGTGAAATTAAATTTAGGTCGTGCAGATGCCGTTTCCGCATTGTCTAATAACCAACATAAAACTTATTACATAAAAAATTACCTAACAGAAAGTTGCCACCCAAAATTTCCAACCTGGCTACCAACCAATGCGGCCGATAAATCATCCATAACAATGGACCAAGGACCCGGTAGTGTTTGAATAATAAATTTATACGGTCATTATTTGATGTGGGCGCATAAATAACGCGGAATTAAATTTATTAAAGCCAGGAGGATATCATGGGCGTGCTGGTGGCCGTTGCTCGCATAAATTATATTTTGTGCCACGCTGGTAACGAATTAAAGTATTTAGGCCAGACGTCGGCGTTCTTAAATGAATTACGAAGTTCGGCATTTGCCGACGTCGGAACTCTTGATTTATTAACATTAAAGGGGGATCCATGTAACCAAGCAAAGAAAAGGATTAAAAGAGGGCGTTTTATTACGTAGGGCTGAGGTTATGTAATGATAAAATACGACCTGTTGATCCTGGGAATTAATTGTTAAAGTGAATCTAATTTGTTATAATGATTTTTTTTAATATCGAATTTTTTTTAATATGAAACGAGGAACCTACAATATCGGATATCATTCCTTTGTATAGTTACCTATTGGAATTTATCGTCTTGGATACGGTTGTAAAGGTAAAAGGAGACGCGTACGTGCTCTCGCATTTCGCGAAGCGATTAGATATCGATTATAACGAACGGGAGAGCACGGTAGAGCAGATTGTTAGGTTTCTGTACCATTGGGCGTATTGCTGTTTGGAAGTCGCAGTTCTTCACGTGGGCGGAATGCAGGTTGCAGGCAAGTAACTATGCGAGGCACGCCGCTTGTGAGAGAGCCGAAGCACCGATTGAAATTACAAAATTGAACTGTATTATGCAAAAGACTGCGTTGGTTTTAGATTAATTGAATCGTTACGGGTCGAATTACATAACAAACAGTTTATTTACTAAGAGTCTTTATCGAGATTGCTATTCTTATCAGTGATTATAATTGAGATAAAAAATTTTAAGAATACATTAAATAGTTTTATTTTTTCTTAATCATGTGGTCTCACGTTTGTTCGCGCTGACTTATCACGTCAATTAGAAAGTGAATTCGCAAAACCACGCAAACATGCCGGCGGAAGAGAAGATAGGAGATCTGGTGCACACGACGCCGGCGGTTCGTTTTTCTCTTATCGGATATCTGCTAGAAAATTGTTGCTCATAATAGTCCTTTGTTTCACTCCGCCAATTGGCGAAACCGGCGCGTTCTGCGATCATTCTTTAAAATCTTTATCTTCCCTTTCATCTATTTAGGATTAAGTAACTCACCTCTAATCCGTCAAAATCCCCACATCGACTACCACCATCCTCTTCTTTCGTCGAATCGTCAGAAGAAATAAATGTGTTATTTTCTTGAACGCCCTCAACCATCTCTTGCACTTCAGGCAAGTGAGGAGAAGACACTTTATCCAAAATTCGATTTTGTATCCATCTTAAACTCTCCGAACTTTCCGCCTTAGTAAAACTTTTACCCTCCTCAGAGCTTTTACTAATCGGAGCCGTCACTTCCACGACTAAAGCCTTCTCCTTCTTGTTACGTAATTCCTCATCGATCAATCGAACTTCTTGGAAATCCTCTTGAATTTCATTCACTTCCCCTTCATTTAAATGATCCTCAACGTACCACGACGAAGATGAATATTCCACGCTGGTCGTGATATCAGCTGACGATCTATTATTTCCCAAGGCATTTTTACATTTTTTCAAATAATTTTTAACTCGCTTCGTCTTGCTTTGTTTACTGCTCTCTGTTTTTGGCAAATCCGGAGAATTTTCTTTGGAATTCGATTTAGAGTCGTCAGAGGCTGGTTTCCAAGATTCTTCATCGTAAGTCAGGCAATGACGACCGGTTGGGGTCACCTGAAATACAAAAAAAAAAGGCTATAGTGGTGTGCAATTCTCGGAATGATTTACGTTCTAATTATTGATGGATACGTTTTAGGACGTGAGTCCAGATGGTGGTTGGAATTTTCTAATCGCCAGAAGGGCGGTGGACTTTCCTATGGCACTAGAACGTAAATCAAATCGGTAGTAAACGTTTGCAATATCCTACGGGAGCGCACCGGTAATTATAAGTTAATATCCTCCCGGTTTATGCACGCCATATAATGGTGATTGTAAATCGTATTTTCACTTGCAAAAACAAAATAAGACAGGTTTCTTATTAGTCCTATACAGATGAAAAAGATTAAAGTTACATCTTATAGTTTCACCAAATAAATTAATAATGTACATCAGCGTTTCTTAAACTTTTTGATGAGTGGAACCCTTATTAATGACCAGATTTATCGTGGAATCCCTGTTATCATTCAATAATTAGAGTTATTTTAAATAATATTTATTTGCTTCAAAATTAATACAAAAGTTATTAAAATAACGTTTAATGGGAAGAGTGGCGCTGCTTTTTATTACCGCAGATATACTTAATATTAAGCTTTATGGACGAAATTTGAATTTTCATATCAAGTTCGGCGTCAAGTTTGTTGCGATATTTATTTTTTGTCGACACATAAGCTGAGAATCCCATTTCGCACATATATGTAGTAGGTAAAAGTGCCAACACGCCCTTTTCCGACAATTGAGGATATTCGTCTTTCAAACTACACCAAAATTGTACTAACGGCATTGATTTAAATTTTTCTTGCAACTATGGTTGAAGGTCGTGTATTGATAATGACTGGGTTTTTACTCCACAGTTCTTGTTGATATTTAATTCGTCTGTCATTCGAAAAATATTTATTAAAAGCTTCACTCAAACCTTTCAGGTGTTGAAGAACTTCTTCAATAAATGTCTGCCCCATTTCAATCTTTTTCCTCTACCAAAAAGTCTTTTATAGTTGGGAAGCTATCATATTTATTGGAGCGCACACAAATTATCCAAAATTCCATCTTGAAAGCAAGAACTTTTTCGATAACAGTAAATACATTTACCTGTTTGCTCTGAAGTGTTAAATTAAGATTATTGATCTTCGTAAAAATGTCGCTTACACATGTAATTTTAAGCAGCCAATTTTTATCAAATAATTGATTTTTCAATTCGAAATTATGTTCTAAAAAAGCACGTACTTCGTCCCTTAGTTTAAACAAAACGAGTTAGTATCTTTCCTCGTGACAACCATTTGACTTCAGTATGTAAGTGTGTTTATGAAGTTAATGATTTTGACCACCTCATCGAGAGCCCTCTTATAACTGGGCAGTGATGGGCGCTGGGTAAATACCCGGGGGGTAGGTATTTATAAAATGGGTATTTATCTGGGTATTTACCCCGGCCTAGGGTAAATACCCAAACAGTACATACAAAAGTGATACAAGTAAAAATATAACAGATTCGGACAAAAATGTAGAGGAACATGATAAAATAGGCGTTGAAGACGAGGAATTGTCAACGATCGAAGACGTATTATAATCAGGTAACCACTGCTCATTCTTCATTCTTGCGACGATGATCCGCCCAGTTCCACTTGAGGTTTGCCACAATGTTGACCGCATCATTTGCGCCAGTTCTTCTTCGTAGGTCTTCATTTCGTATGTGGTCCCTCAGAGTTATACCCAGAATCCACCTCTCCATCTTTCTTTGCGTTACTTTGAGCCTCCTGGTAATGGCCACCGTTAATGTTAAAGTTTCGGAACCGTATGTCATAACCAAAAGAGGAACCACGCATTGGTTGAAAGCCTTTCTTTTCAAATATACAGGAATATCGCCCATGAAGATGTCCCTAAGTTTCCTGTAGGCTGCCTTTGATTATTATCTCTCGATACACGAACCTCATGGCCAAGATATATGGCTGCAATGCGAACCAACTGAGATGAGTACTTTAAGAACAATAGTGGAAGAGACAAGAAAAGACAGAGTTAGGAACAAAATTGTAAGAGAATTTTGTGGATTCGGATATGTCATGAGATTTGCTAGGGGAAAAATAAAAAAAATTTATGAATACTTCCAAAGAATGGAAGAAACCTGGCTGATTAAGACAAAAGAGACCAAAGATTAGCTAGAAAGAGATCCCGGGAGACCAGGAAGTTGGATTTCCAGCTCTAATGAAACACCATGAATGATGCGTAAACAGGTTACAACCTGAATAAAAAAGAAGAATTATAAGATCTTAAACGAACTACTTAATTTTCAATTGGAAATCAACAATCTCATGGATCTTGGAATCTTGGATTTGATGGAAGTGCAATATGACTAGAAAAGAATGAAACTACAAGAATTAACGAAGCATAAAAACTGAATTTAGTCATTAATATTAGACTTATACTCAATTTAGGACATTCAAAGTTGTTTTTCAAGCATTAAAGAAATCGTTAAATATTTTCGAAGAGTATTACGTAAACGAGAATGGTCGGTAGTGAAAATATAAACTTTCCCGAAATATATGTACACTTTAAAGCTAATAACACCAGGAATGTGTATAAATTTGTTAGATAGTTAAGACAAAGGCACAAATCGCACACAGCTCTATGCTGAGATGAACAGGAAAAATAATATGTGATAGTGAAATGAATGACATTTGAAAAAATTATTTCCAAAACCTATTAAGCATAGAGAAACTAATTTGGAAACAGACAGCAGTCCGTCACACCAAAGAAAGGATAGTGTCATTCAACCTATATCAATCAGTGAGGTTCAAAACGCAATCTCTGCAGCAAAATATGGAAAGGCATCAGAGATTAATAACATACCATCGAAAGTACTCTAGATGGAATATTCATCATCACCAACATTGATGTTACAGCTTGGAACAAGATTTGTATACGTTCAGCATCAGTTTCATCGCTCCAAGGATATCCGAAATAAGGACTATATCGTCCGTGTAGCGCAAATTACTTAGGTATTGCTATCAATTTTTATACCTTTTTGAGTCCAATCCAGTTATTTAAATGCACTCTCCAGGACTGTGATAAACAATTTGGGTTCAACATTATATCGCCTTGTCTTACCCCACGCTCATTGTAGCATTCTTGTTATAAATAAGTTTGGTGTATCGATAATGGACTCTGTATTCTTGAAGTACTTGCAAAACTGCCATTAACTCAATTTAAATCAAATTTTATAAATACCTCTAAATACCCATCTTGGGTAAATATCCCAGGGTATATATCCAGGGAATTTTCCCTTGAAAATAAATACCCGGGTATTTAACAACACTGTAACTGGGGCATAATTTCTTTGCAGCAAGTGCCTACCTATGTAGCATACAGTGACTGTAAAACAGTTTTTGGCGATATTTTTAATAAGCTGTACAGCTCCATTAATTGTGCCACTCATGGCTTTTGCTCTATCTGTATAGATATCGATGCAGTTGTCTCATGATATTTCATTGTCTAAAGAAAAGAATTTAGGAGACTAAATATTTCTAGTCCAGTAGTGCGTGTTGGTAGAGATTTGCATAACAGAAGATCCTCTGATATCGCGTTTTCATGCTGGTACCTAACGATGATAATTAATATTGCGAGTCCAGCTACATCGGTAGATGCGTCCATTTGTAATGCAAATTTGCATGATTTCAGGCGAAAAGTAAGCGCATTCTTTATATTGGTTACTAAATTTCTGATGCGCTGAGCTATCGTGTCATTCGATAGTGGGATCTTACCTATTTCTTCTGCTGATTTTTCATCTAACATACATTTTACCATCTCCATAACGCTAGGTTTATAAGATTTTCCGCAATTGAGTAGGCTTCACCGCGTTGAACTGACCAAGTAAGAAGCCTCAGTTGCTTCGTTTTTGTGGTTTGAAGCATAAATGTTTTTAACTTAACAAATTCGTCACACTTTCGCTTGAAAAATTCAAAATTTTTTTCATTAAGGTCCCCATGAACAGATTCCAAATGTCGACACATCTTAGCTGGAGCAATAGAGCTATTTGGAAGAACTTTGCTGCATATAATACACTGCGGATTAGCATTACTGTTGATAAATCCTAAGGATATATAATTTTCATCATACCTCCTATGTTTTCTAGTACACTTAGTGCACTTGTAGAAGCATTTATAACTGGATTATTTTCTTTTGGGGTGCTTTGATTTGTATCGATGTCAGTGTTTTTTTTTTAAATAGCTAGACATTGAAGCTGATGTTATGTAAAAAGTATCACGTACGATTCACGGAACCCTTAAGTGTTCTACACGGAACCCCAGGGTTCGCGGAACACAGTTTAAGAAACGCTGATGTACATAAAATATGTTTATTTTTAAATTTCTAATTTAAAATTTTTTATTCCTAAATTAATTTTATACAAAAACATGCAATGAATCTTGTTTGAGTTCTTGTTTAAATGTAAGCAAACGTGTTTTACTTCTTGAAATAGCAACTAAAGGACGAGAAACACGCGGTAAGCAGGAATCCTCGACGGTATTTATTTATTAATCGCCGATGGAATTAAATATCCCGCGGGGCTTCATTATTAAAGTGCCGTATACGGCGAAATCGAAGGTCGCATCGTCAATTTATATTTAATAATTCGTTTTGGGGCTTTCTCCGAGGACGATCGCGGCCTTCTTGCAATCAATGCCGACCCTAAACCGGGTGGAATTTCACGAACGGACCTTAATTATGCTTCTTGCGTCGCTTTTTATTATATCGAATACGCAACTGGGTTAATAATCTTATTGGGTGACATGCCAAGATTTTTTCACCCAATTAAATTATTTTTAGAATAAAAAAAAATTAGTCTGGAAAAGCTTGTAATATTTAATTGTCGGATTTCTTGAAAAGTACTTTTAGAAGATAAATTATCATTCCGATACAAGTACAACAACCGTTGAGGTAATTAAAAACGAACGCCCGAATAATAAACGAACGTGGAGTTTTCTCGGCAATGTCCGACCCGGTGACCCCGTTCGGAGAGCGCTTTTAAT